ACCCCCAAATAGCCAAGCAATCTTGAAAAAGAAGAACCAAGTAGGAGGGATCACAGTACCAGATATCAGGTTATATTACAAAGCCATTGTAATCAAAACAGCCTGGTACTGGCACAAGAACAGGCATATAGACCAGTGGAACAGAACAGAGAACCTAGAAATTGACCTAAGACATTATGCTCAATTAATATTTGACAAAGGTCGCAAGAGCATACAATGGAGTAAAGACAGCCTCTTTAATAAATGGTACTGGGAAAATTGGACAGCTACATGCAAAAAAATGAAACTAGACCACCAACTGACACCATACACAAGGATAAACTCAAAATGTATAAAAGACTTAAATGTAACTAGTGAATCCATAAAAATCCTAGAAGAAAATGTAGGCAATATCAGACATCACACACAGCAGAATTTTCACTGATAGAATGCCTAAGGCAAGAGAAACAAAGGAAAATATTAATAAATGGGACTACATCAAACTAAAAAGCTTCTGCAAAGCAAAAGAAACAAGCATCAAAATGAAAAGGGAACCCACTATATTGGACAGCAGAACTGCCAATGATACATCAGATAAGGGGTTAATTTTCAAAATATATAGAGTACTCATACAACTCAACAAAACAAAGACAAAGAACCCAATTAAAAAATAGGCAGACGATCTAAATAGACACCTCTCCAAACAGGACATACAAATGGCCAAGAGACACATGAAAAAATGCTCGATGTCACTAATCATCAGAGAGATGTAAATTAAAACACCTCACACCTATCAGAATGGCTGCCATCAACAAATCATCCAATAACAAGTGCTGGGGAGGGTGTGGAGAAAAGGGGACTCTAGTACATTGTTGGTGGAATGCAGACTGGTGCAGCCACTATGGAAAACAATATGGTGTTTCCTTGAAAAACTGAAAATTGAACTGCCATTTGACCTAGTGATCCCACTTCTAGGAATATACCCTAAGAAGCCTGAAACACCAATCAGAAAGAATACATGTATCCCCATGTTCATAGCAGCACTATTTACAATAGCTAAGATCTGGAAACAGCCCCAGTGTCCATCAATAGATGAGTGGATAAAAAAGCTGTGGTACATATACACAATGGAGTACTATGCAGCTGTAAGAGAGATCTCTTATCCTTTGAGATGACATGGAGGGACCTGGAGAGCATCATGCTAAGCAAAATAATTCAATCAGAGAAAGACAAATATCACATGATCTCACTTATTTGTGGAATATAATGAACAAAATAAACGGAAGAATAAAATAGACCCAGAGACATATAAGTAGAGTTCAGACTGACAAACCTCAGAGGAGGTGGGGGAGTGGGGGAGGAGTAGAATAAACCAAAGAACTTATATGCATAACCAATGGACACAGACAACAATGCTGTGAGGTAGGGGCGGGATCGGGAGGAGGGTGTCAATGGGGGCAGAGAAACATCTGTAACAAAAAAAAGGAGGCCATAAGGTGGCAGAGAGATGAGGGAATAGGAGAGAGGGATGAACCACAAAGCCAGACACTCACAGGAGAGGCAGGGTGAGGGCGAGACAAGGACACAGCCTGAGCACCAGGCAACACCTTCCACTCTGCACACGCTCACTCCCTCCCTCCCTCCGCCTCACACCTCCTTCACAACCTGCAAACCACCAACCAGAAAGTTAATCATTGCTCCAGCATTTGAGGAAAAAAAAAAAAAAAGACTCACCAGGGCCCTGATCTGTTTGCCTCAGCAGTTAGAGCGCTGGCCTGCACACTGAAGGGTCAAGGGTTCGATTCCCAGTCAAGGGCACATACCTGGATTGCAGGTTCAAACCCCCACCCAAGTTTGGGGCTCGTTCGGGAGGCAATTAATGGATGTGTCTCTCTCACATCAGTGTTTCTCTCTCTCTCTCCCTCCCTCCCTCTTTTCCTGTCCCTCCCTTCCACTCTACCTAAAAAAAAAAAAAAAATCAATGGAAAAATATCCTTGGGTGAAGATTAACAAAAATAAAAAATGAAGAAGAAAAGTGTCCAGTAGAAAGCTGCCTCCACTCTTGATGGTCAGGAGATGGGGAAGGCACCAAAGATATGAGCTGCACTTGACATTATGTGTACATCCAATAAGGAGGACATCCTAAGCCCCAAACCCACTCCTCTGGCTCTCCCAGGACAAGAAAGACAAGGACACCTGAACTGTGAAGCCATGTCCGAGGAAACACCATCACCTCACAGCGTCCATCCTGGGGGAAGAATGTGCAGCCTCTACATAGGTCTCCCTGGGGCCTGGGCCAGGGGTGGGAAAAGTGGCAGGGGTAGGGATAGGCTTGGGCAATGGCTATCATTTCTATCTTTTCCTTTTTATCCATACACACTCAATAAATGAGTATTTTTTTTCTTTTAAAATTACCTAGTATTTAAGAACGACTAATTTGGTTCAATTACACTAATAGGCTAAAGAGATCTGACACCGAAACAAGCCTGGAAGTCACTCTGCAATAAGAACACTGGGAACAGTGGAATGAACTGCTACAAGGGGTAGTAAGCTCTCCATCTCTGGAAGCATTTAAGCAGAAGCGAGGTGACCACTCTCCGGGTTATAGTTAGATTCCTGCACTGGGTCTAGGTCTACTAAACCTTAAGCTTTCATAGGAAAAAGTCAAAAGATAATGTCTCAGATTGTTTTCTCAGAATATAAAAAGTTATATTAGATTGTTGTTCAGAGTTAAGGAGGGTACCTACAGAAGAAATAGAAACCGAAAGTCAAGCAGCTCCTTCTAAAAAGCAGGACTGGAAATGGGAAGGGGCGGGGCAAGGGACACTGGTTGTTATAAGCCCTTCTTTGCTTCTTTGCCTTGGGCATGTATTAATCTGACGAAAAAAAATTTGTTTTTGTAAATCCTCACCTGAGGATTTTTTTTTAAGAACATTTTATTTATTTATTTATTTTTCTTTATTGACTTTAGAGAGAGAGGAAGGGAGAAGGAGAGATAGAAACATTGATGAGAGAGAACATCAATTGGCCGCCTCCTGCATGTCCCCTACTGGGGACTGGGCCCACAACCTGGGCATGTGCCCTGACCAGGAATCGAACCAGCAACCTCTTGGTGCATGGGTTGACGCTCAACCACTGAGCCACACCGGCCGGGCCTGAGGATATTTTTTTCATTGACTTTTAGATAGAGTGAAAGGAAGGAAGGGAGAGAGAAACATCGATGTGAGAGAGACACATTCATTGGTTGCCTCCTGCACAACCAGGACCAGGGCCAGGGATTGAACCCGCAACCCAGGTACGTGACCTTGCCAGGAATCAAACCTGCCACCCTTCAATCCACAGGCTGACGCTCTAACTGCAGAGCCAAACCAGCCGAGGCTGATGAAAATTTTAACGTTAAAAAAAATTTCTATGGGTGCCCTGGCCAGGTGGCTCAGTTAATTAGAGCATGGTCCTGTACACCAAAAGGTTGCGGGTTTGACTCCTGGCCAGGGCACATACCTAGATTTCAGTTCAATCCCCAGTTGGGGCACGTAGGAGAGGCAACTGATCAATGTTTCTCTTTCATTGATGTTTCTTTCCCTCTCTCTCTAAAATCAATAAAAACATTTTAAAAATTCCAATGGGTTAAAAAGAAAATATTAATTTGCCCTGGACAGTTTGGCTCAGCAGTTAGAGTGTCGGCCCGCAGACCAGAAAGACCCCGGTTTGGTTCCCACTAAGGGCACGTACCTCGGTTGCAGTTTGTCCCCAGCCCCGGTTGGGGTCGTGTGGGTGGCAGCCAGTCAATGTGTCTCTTTCACATCGATGTTTCTCTCTCTCTTCCTCCCTCTCTCCCTCCTGCTCTATCTGAAGATAAATGCAAAAATGTCCTAGGGCGAGGATGAAAAAATAAAAAAAATTAATTCTGCAATTAGTAAACAATACATTTCCAAAAATATTTAGTAACATTTAATAACATGGAAATGCTGATAATATATATATTAAATATATATATTATATGTATATGTGTATAACATATAAAAATACACAAACACAAATACACCTAGAAAAAAATAAAGATATATACTAAAATGTTCTCACTGATTTTCTCTAGCTGGTAAAGAATACCACTGATAATTATTCTTCATATTTTTGTGGAATTTTTCATGTTCTATAACAAACATACTTATTTCAATAATTCCTCAAAGGCAATTATTACTAATTTTAACATCTGGTTTTTTTTTATATATTTTTATTGACTTCTAGAGAAAGAGGGAGGGAAAGGAAGAGAGAGAGAGAAACATTGATGTGAGAACAGGGATCGAGCCTGCAACCCAGGCATGTGCCCTGACCTGTAATCAAACCAGCAACCTTTTTGGTGCATGGGATGAAGCCCAACCAACTAAGCCACACTGACCAGGGCCTTTAACATATATATATATATATTTTTTTTATCCTCACCTGAGACACATTGAGTGGCTGCCACCCACACGACCCCACCCGGGGCTGGGGACAAACTGCAACCGAGGTACATGCCCCCAGCAGGAAATGAACCCAGGACTTTCTGGTCCGTGGGCCGACGCTCTAACCGCTGAGCCAAATCAGCCAGGGCTAACATATTTTTTAAAATAAAAAGCATTAGTAACCATGGTTGATTAAATATAGCTACAAATTCTTTGCAGCTCCTGCCAGCAAGTTGTAAAATAATTTTTACCCCTTGAGTCTGGACTGGCCTTCTGGAAGGCGACAGGCTTGGGGGAGCACCAAGGGCCCCAGCCACCTGCCAGCACCTACTGTCAGACATTTAATAACATGGAAATGCTGATATGTGAGTACACCTTGGATTATGCAGGCCTGATGCAACTGCATTTACTGTCTCAGGCAAGACCAGCCCAGAGCTGCCTAGCTGACTCATTTTCAGTATTGTGAGCAGATAAATGGTTTCTGTCTCACCCTGAGTTTGGGGGTAACTTGTTACATAGCAATAAGTAACTGATACAGTAGCAAAGTTGAAACATCCCTTCTGTGCCCACCAGTACCTGTCCAAGGGGTGCCCATGACCTCCTGGCTCCACTCGCTCCACAGGCCATTCCCAAACTCCTCCTGGGCTCGCAGCTGCACCACGTGCTTCATGCCACTCCAGGCATCACGAATGATGCAGTGATGCTGGGGCTCCTTGACCTGAGAACAGAGGCACAGTTACTTGGGCAGAGCCTGGGTGGCTCTGGTTAGGCAGCTCCACAAAGACATGGATGCCCTTGGCTGCCCCTGCCCTTCAGCTGCTCCCTCCCTGAGGTATAGTGGGTGACTCAGCTGGGCAGAGATTCTCCATAAGGCTGACATCACCTAGCAGCTCAGAAATATGGATGCCCTCTGGGCCAACACAGGCGGAAGCTGGAAGTCATTGCCCAGGTCCCGCCCCTCCCCGGCCAGGTACTGTGGAGTCCTGTAGGCCACATCCTTGGCATGCTCATAGCCCTACTCACTCCCAGCTCATTCTCACTCACAAATAGACCTATAAAGGGGAGATTAGCCTGGCATTAGTATTTCCATTCTATAAATGATGACACCAAGGTTCAGAAAGGCTGAGACTTATCCAGAGCCATTCAGGTAGTGAGTGCAGAACAGGACTCAGAGCCCATCTTTTTTTTTCCTCGTATCCTTTCTACTACCCCTGAGTATCTAGGGGCACTTCTCTATCTATAAGTGAAAGAAGAGCCCTGGCTGGTTTGGCTCAGCAGCTAGAGCATCAGCCCATGGACCAAAAGGTCCAAGTTCGATTCCGGGTTAAGGGCACGTACCTGGGTTGCAGGTTCGATCCCCAGCCCTGGTCAGGGTTGTAAGGGAGGCAACCAATCGATATGTCTCTCTTGCATCAATGTTTCTCTCTCTCTCCCTCCCTCCTTCCCTCCCTGCCTCTCTTCCACTAGATCTAAAATCAATGGAAAAATATCCCCAGATGAGGATTAACAACAACAACAAAGAACAAGAAGTTACCATCCACGTTGTGAATGTCTCTGACCGTTCAGCCCGGTATCGGAGCTCAAACTGGAGTCTATAGAAATATGAATTCCAGGAGGGGGGGTCTTGCCAGGTGACACTGAGCCAGCGGGGATTTCTGTCTACAGCGGTGACTGTGATGTTGACAGGTGGGTCAGGCTGCACTGTGGGAAAAGGGTGCATGGCTCTTATGTGGTGGCAATTGTGGTGCCGAAGAAAGACCACGGAGGCTGTGAAAATCCCCCACAACAGGATGCCACCCAGCCCGAGCACTTCCTCTGCGCTTTTTGCCGGGGCCCTGGTCAGCCAGTCAGACCTCTGTCAAGGAAAGCCCCAAAGGCCCCAGCTCCCCAGCCTCCCCCGCCCCCCAAGCCCATGAGGAAAACAGGCGGAAGGTGCAGAGGGAGTCCTGGAGGAGCTTACAGATTCCGTAGCCGTTAAACGTTTGGGTCCTGCTGGACTTGCTCCCAGCACTGCTGGCGACGCACAGGGCCACTGCGTAGAAAGAGCTGTCTCCCTCTGGGACTGCCAGCTGGCAGGAGAACTTCTGGGACTCCTGAGAATACTGGCACGGCTCCTGGGAGTCTTCCATGGGGCCGTGCTGACTGCCGGACACAAAACAAGAGCGCCCGCTCAGTCTCCGCACTTCGGGGCGGGCAGAGGACTCTGCAGTCCGCCCCGGGTCTGCATCCCGGCTACACATTTGGTAGTTCTGGTGACTTGGAGTACATTATCCTCCCCAAGCCTTTGTTTGCTCATTTGAAAATGGGAATATTAACAGTACCTGCCTCATAGGGAGTTGTTAGGGTTCATTGAAAAATGAGTGTCAAACATCTAGCTTGGCACCTGGTGAGTCAAAGGTGCTGAAGGAGAGACGCTGAACTCGGTCACCAAGGCACTGGAGTGGTGGTTCCTTGGCTTCCTGCCAGGGCCTGTGCTCTTGGCAAGGAGGGGGCAGCAGAAATGAATGGAGAGGCCCCACCCTGACCTCAAGGCCTGCTAGCAGAGAGCCACTAGAAATGCCATTCCAGACGCACAAAGTGCTAGGGATTTGCAAGGAAGTGGGAGCATTTCTGGTAGGTGAGCCCAGAAAAGAAGTCTGGGTGGCTGGAGATACTCGAGGTGAGTCAGGCACCGCCCTACCTGGCCTGGAAGCCTGAGACTTCACCACTTATGACATGCGTGGGCATATGAGGCCACGGCAGCCACTCACCCTGCCGCTGGGGTGATGAATCACCACCCACCAACCTCCTGCTATGGGTTTGAACCCCAGGCCTAGAACAAACTTCTAGGAAACCTACCCCAATCTTTCCAGTCTGAGTTAGAGCCTCCCTCCCTTCCCCCTCCCATCCCACCTAACCCTGGGAAGGTGGGATCCTCAACCAGCTTCCAGATCTGTTCCCCTGTGGGGCTGGATGGCAGGACCACAGACTTGTTTGCCTAGTGTCTCCCTCAGCCTAGTACCGCACCTGGCCCACCGCAGATGCTGAACTCACTGAACACAGACATTCCTGGAACGAATGGGTGAGTAAGCACAGTTGGGCAAGGGCGTAAATGCGTATACAAAGTAGAATACACAAAATTTCCCAGGGGCCGTTCACCTCCAGCAGTCTCAGGGTCCGAGTAGAGTTGGGGTGGGTTCTAGCATCCCCAAGGCCCTCACAGTTGCTCCCTACCCTCCGTCCTCATTCAAGGCAGAGACTCCCAGACAAGCAGTTGCATGGAAGTGCCTGAGGTTGCTGACAGGAGGAGGGTGTGAACTAACATGCCCCTCTCTCTCTCTCTCTCTCTCTCTCTCTCTCTTTCTCACTGTCAAAATGCCGAAAACAAACGCACCAAGTATTCCACTTAAAGTATCAGTTGAATAAACTTGCTATGGGCTGGTCTAGGCAGCTGTCGCTGGCAAGCAAACCACCCTGTTGAACTCACTGTTCAGATTTTTGGATGCTGATGACTGATAGCCCAAACTCAAACAGAAACACCTGGACTGAGGGGCCCTTGGCTGCGGGATGGAGACTGACCAAACTGCAGAGAGGTCAGTGTCAGCTTCGCACCCTCCTCTGCATCCCCGCCTGAACTCACCCCAGGTCCCACACCCTACACCATCTCCTGGTGCAAAGGGACCCCCAGGCGGGTGTGACTGTCACCCACCACCTCCGCTCCCTCTCTGCCCAGTCACCGCTTCCTCTCTGCCATTAAAATGGAAAGAGCTGGATAAGCTCACTGGGTGGGTCAGGACACCTGGACACAACAATGAGCGGGCTCCCCTTCCCCTCCCAGACATTTGCATCTTTTTCAGAACAACGCCCAAAACCTTTGTTTTTTTGAATAAAATCAGATAGACTGGGTTTGATTTCCTAGCAGAGCTACAAGCAAGATGACCTTAAACAGTTAATCAGTTTCTAACCCTAACCGAAACTTCAGTTCTCTGTTAAAGGAGAAAAATAACACCCACTTCCCATGCCTACGTAACAGTCACTAGGACAAATATCCCAGCACAGTGGCCAGCACAGGTGAGCCCTTGAATCTGTCCTAGTTTCATCTGTCATTCCCTCCTCTTCATCCCAAAGGAATGATTTTCTAATGATAAAATTTTGGACTCACTGGCTGGCCAGTCCTACGTGGCTCCTTCGAGAGCACCCACTCGCCAGGGCCTCAGCTGAGGACAAATAGACACAAACATACAGCCCAGCCCAGGATACTTACAACTTCTTCACCAACAGCGTAGCCTTGGTCCTGGCCGAGGTGAGGCTCTGAGGGCTCCACTCACAGCAGACGGTGCTGATGGGGCTCTTCCGGAAGCAGGAGAGCTGAGGCTCCTCCGGAGGAACTGAAAGGCAGCACCCGGGGCCTGGGCTGAGCTCACCTCACCTCCCACCCCAGGTGAGCACCTGGCCCTCCTCACCTCTCCATCCCCTGCTCTGGAGCCAGCTGTGACCCGGACACCATGCCAAACAGCCACACACACAGTTGTAGCTGGGAAATTACAGGGCCTTACGACAGTAATGGGAGACACCCAGGGGCTAACTTGTCTAAAGGGGAGAGAGAACAATAAAAAAACATAGAGGCTTTGGAGTCACACGGGCCTGCTGTGTGGCCTTGGGCAAGGCCCAACCTGTTTTCGGTTTTCGATTATAAAATTAAATGATGACAAATAAGCATAATGCTGCTTGCCCTCACAGGGTCACTGGACCCAGAGAAGAAAGTGCCTCAGCACAGGGCCTGGCACACAGGGCATCCGGCTCAGGACGTCTTTATCTAGATGTGAGGGAGCTCAGAACCTGCTCGTTCTAAAAATAAAAATAGTTCATTTGAGACTATGCCGAGAGTTCAACATCATATGTACATGTGTGAGTAGCCACACATTAACCCATTTAATCTTTGCACTAACTCTGAGGTAAGTGCAAATAAAATTAACTTATTGTACCAAAGAGTAGACTGAGGAGCAGAGAAGTTAAGCTGTGAAGGAGGAGGATTTGAACCCAGGCCACCTTGCTCCCAGCCCCATGCTATTAACCAGTCCACCTCAAGCCCTAACTGTGCAGCAAGGCCAGCTGATGGTGTCCCCAGCAGCCAGTTGCACCCACCCAACAGGAATTTCTGCGAGTTTCACTGGCAGACATCAGTGGGCCTTTCCCCAGAACCACGGGCCGAGGACACAGTGGGATGTAAAGGATCAGGCAGGGACTCGGGGGAGCACAGAGCTGCTGCACAGGGAGCCGTCTTCAAGAGCGCTGCGGACACAACTCACCGTCCACCAACAGGCGCACAGTTCCGACGAGGTGGCCATCCTGGTAGCACGAATAGTTTCCAGAGTCACTGAGCTGCACGGACCTCAGGAGCAGCCGCCTTCCCAAACCAGCCCGCCTGGCGTGGTTGGAGCCTGCAGCCTGGTTCCAGAGCACCCAGTGAACCGTAGCATTGTCTCCCGGTTCCGCACCTGGACAGGTCAGGGTAACACTGGCTCCAGGCTGGCTGGTCAGCACATCGCTCTCCACCTCTGGGGAGAGAGCAGACACTCAGCAGTCCACCACAAACTGCAGAAGGGACTTCATTTCTCATTTGGGGAAGCCACAAGAGGCTGCAGTACTAAACATCTCCCAAGTCCATCCGGAGGTCCAGGCCTCTGCCTGATTGGCAATAGCCTTCCAGTCGTCCTCATGCCCCAGCCTTGGTCCTCTCCACCCAGCTGCCCAAGTGAGCCTTTGGAAGCCTCAATCTGGCCACCCCACTCCTTTGATTAGAAAACTCTTTAAGGGCCTGTCACTGTTTACAGCATGGAGTCCAAAATTCAAGGAACAAGTAAACTTTTCTTTTAGTGTCGGTTTTATATTCATAGACTCTAAGATATAAATTCGTCCAATCTATTAAAGTAGTCTCACCAGTTGAGGGCACTGAGGCCAGGGAATATGGCCAGTTCCACATTAAGCACACTTGGTCCTTCAAACCAAACGTATAATCACTTCTTAGCAAGCAGCAGCAATACGTCTGGCCCAGGATTTTGTAGCGGCCCAGCAGCTGCCTGAGCACCTGACCTCACCTTCCACCCCTGCTCCTGGGCCTGGAGGACGAGCACCAGTATCCTTGACCTGCAAAGCCTTCTTGCTTGGGATGAGAGTTTTTATCTCACACTTGGCAGACTGTCCTTCCTCCCACCCATCTGAGGTGCCCGTCAGAGAGGAGGGGCTAAGGATCGTGACTTCCAGGAGGTTAACACGCTCAAAGCCAGAAGCTGGTTATGAAAACTGACCACAGCCACAGTCCAGGGACCAGGGACAAGGGCATCAAAGGGCAGAGATGGCTTCTGCCTGGCATTGGGCCCTGCCTGGTAACACAGACTGCCTTTAAGCTTCCTCCTCTGCCCTGAGGCTGCAAGTAAGGAACAGATGCCAGGCTAGCAGCAGGTTTTCCTGTTCACTGTTGGAGCCTCGGACTTTGGGTGAGAGAACGGACTGTGTAGCGGGTGAGTTTGGGCAGGTTCTTTAGGCCTTACTTTCGCCCACTGTGGGACAGAAAGGCCCTCCCTCCTATCCCACATTCAACGAACACTCAAGGAGGCCCCAGAGTCAGGCACCGGTGAGGAGGACACAGTGAGGCAGCAGGGAGACCCTGCCCTCAAAGACAGGAGAAGGACACATTCACTGCCACAGAGGTGGGGCACCAGACACAGGGCTCCCTGGACATCAGAAAAATCTACTCTAGAAGACGGAGTCCGCTGAGAATGCATCCATGCCCAGAGGGCATAAAAGAGTTCTCAAAAGCCCTAATCATCTTCCCTCCCCCACCCCCGTTTTATTGATATATGATTGACATATAGTGTAAGTTTAATGTGTGCAGCATAAACTTGACTTGACTTACATATATTGTGAAATGATCACCACAATAAGTTTAGTTATCCATCATCTCATATAGTTATAAAAAAGAGGAAAAAAAGTTTTCTTTTTTTCTTGTGATGAGAACACTTAGGATCTACTCTCAACTTTCAAATACACAACAAAGTACTGTTAACTATAGTCATGTACATTACATGCCTAGTATTCATTTATCTTATACCTGGAAACACGTTCCTCTAACCCCTTTCATGGCATTCTCTACAAACACACCTCTGGTAACCACAAATCTCCTCTTTTTCTATGGGTTTGGTTTTGTTGTTGTTGTTTTTTATTTATTAATTTATTTTAGATTCTACATATCAGCCCTGGCCAGTTTTGCGCAGTGGTTAGAGCATCAGCCTGCGGACCAGTGAGTCGTGGGCGCGATTCCAGCCAAGGGCACATACCTCGGTTGCGGTTCATCCATAGCCCTGGTCGGGGCTGTGAGGGAGGCGACAAGTCAATGTGTCTCTCTCATATTGATATTTCTCTCTCCCTTTTTTGCCTTCTCTCTCCCTCCCACTCTGTCTAAAGATAAATAGAAAAATATCCTCAGGTGAGGGTTAAAAAAAAAAAGATTCCTCATATCAGTGAGATCATACAGTGTTTGTCTTTCTCTGTCTGACTTATTTCACTTAGCATAATGCCCTCGAGGTCCATCTATGTTGTCACAAATGACAGGATTTCTTTTTTTTATGGCTAAATATCCGAGTGTGAATGTGTGTGTGTGTGTGTGTGTGTGTGCATATGTGTGCTACAACTTTTTTATTTATTTATTTTTAATTTTTCTTTATTGATTTTAGAGAGAGAAGGGAGAGGGCGAGAGATAGAAACATCGATGAGAGAGAACATTGATTGGTTGCCTCCTGCATGCCCCCCACTGGGGATAGGGCCCACAACCTGGGCATGTGCCCTGACCAGGAATCGAACCAGCAACCTCTTGGTGCATGGGTCAATGCTCAACCACTGAGCCACACCAACCGGGCAACCACAACTTCTTTATCCATTCACCAGGCAAGAGACACTTAAGTTGTTTCCATATTTTGGCTATTGTAGATAATACAGCACACCTTTCATACATAATCTTCAATAATATATTTCAAGCATTTCAAACATTGTTTTTAAATATATTATATTGAATGCATGCAAATTAATATATGTAATGTACATGAAAATAACAAAACATAAAACATCCTGAGCTCCTACCAATCTAACTACTAGCACAATCATTGTCTCTGAAGCTCCCTTTCTGCTTCTGCATCCTCCAGCCTCCCCACCGACACACTGTTACGTATGGGGTAATAACTCCCTTACTTTTCAAAACAGGTTCACTACTCATCTACTCATAGATCCTTAAATTTGTCTTAATTTTGCTTGATTTTTAAGCTTTATATAAGTGGTTTGTATATAGTCTTCTATGGCCTATTTTTGTCATTCCGTATGTTTCTATTATTTATTTACATGTAGCTATAGTTTGTTCATTTTTGCCGCTGTGTAATATTCCATTGTGCAACTACAGTAGATCATCTCCCACTAAGGGAGATTTGAGTCATACATCAAAGAGTGTGAAGAGTGTGGCTATCAACTTTCTCACATGTGGCTTTTGGTGCATTTTCCCAAGAGTGTCCCTGAGTAGAACTGCTGGTCCCAGTGTGTATGTATGTCACACATGTCCTTTTCCTTCATAACTGAATACACGGTCCAATGAATTTAAGTCCCAAGAGCACCTGGTGCAGGCTACAGCTTGCGACTATCAGTCCACATATTGATTTCCATCTGGCCTGATGAGGTTAAGTTTAGAAGACATACTGACATACTTTTAATCACTATATCGATATTTTCACTTTTTAATTTTCCACTTGATAAAGTTGCTGTAAGGATAAAACCCAACAGGGACATCAAGCTCATGCACAAATTACCACCACTGTAGGAACAAAGATGGAGACACTGCCAAAATAGGGGTGGCCCCGCGACGCAGTGCTTATATCGTCCCTCTACCACCAATGAGCAGACGTCAGAGTTCACAAGGCAGTTTAGGAGTACCAGTACGAAACAGACACAAGGCAGGTGCATGAAGGTCCCGAGTCCGGCCCAAGGACCATGAATGGCTCATCCTTTCGCTGGCACTTTCCACATGGCTCTGTCTTGGACTATATAGAGCTCCCTATCCCCAACCATGACTATGAGACTGTGAGCTCCTGCTAGCACTCATCAAAGAGTTCAGTAGGTGTTTAATAAGTGTTTGTTTAATGTAGGGCACCTAAATGGTGTCCACAGGGACAGGGCTTCCACACTGAAAACTCCCAGAAGCACCACTCACAGCTGACACAGTTGTCTAAAGAGGTGCCCCTTCCTGTTATACAAAGGACAAGCCCAATACTGAGACCAGAGCAGCCAGCTTGTCCCAACCAGGAGATCTGGGGAAAGAACTCCTGCCTATGAGTCCGGAGCCAAGGGAGGTCTCTTTTCTGCTTCTGCTTTTGCCAGTTCCAGGAAATATGTCTCTCTGGTCACTTCCCTTACCCCAATTCAGATGGAAGCTCTTGCCATGTTTAGTGACCGGCCTGAACAATGGCAGGGGCTGTTCTGTTCCTGCTCTCACTAACAATGGCCAAACTATTTGGGCAACTCAGAGAAATAGCAAATAAAAAGACTATTTTTCTCTTCCACAAAAGCAGAGCTGCGGGAGAAACATAATGGCCACTTCCTCTGCCAAGAAACTTGAGTAATGGTTTTCTTTAAAACTGAGTCACTATTTTTTTTTTTTTTTAATGAGGGATGATTAATTATAAACCAGCCATTGGCAAGTGTGGGCTGTCCTGGCCCTTCTTCCTGATATATTTCTTCTAGAGCTTGAACAGCACGGTGTTGACTATGCTTTTTAAAGCACCGTATACAGGATGATCACAAATACTCAGAGGAAAGACCACAGGAAAACAAACTTGCTGAAGTCAGAGTGGGCAGTGCTGCCCCCTCCTCACTCACCTACTCACCCTCTGCCCCCTGACCTGAATCTCTGAGTCAGATCCCTGCCACCGGTGGCCATGTGGGAAGCCCCATGGGCATTGCTGTGAGGAGAACGAAGTGATGTTCACAGAACGCCCTCCTGGTATCTCTGCCCACATCTCCAAATGATGAGACTGGAGGTGATTTCTTTCTCTTCATCTTTCAGTAGTTTTTGGATTTTCTACAAGTTGCTGTATTACTCTTATAATGAAGAGATATATTTAAAACATAAAAGCTACGTAGCCAGGGCTGCCCAGGTCCGCCCCAGTAATTCTGTCTAGGGCGGAGGGTCGGGGTGGGGCAAAGCACCACAGGCACCAGGGAATAGGGGTGGGGTGAGGGTAGAGTTTTCAAGACAAACAGCTTCTGAGAGCACCTTCTGGGCCAGAAAGTGTCACACACACACCCTTTGCAGCTCTGTGTTCTGTCACTGTCTCTGCACTCTACACCCTTAGCTCTCAGCTCTGCTGGCCTGGTCCTCCGGTGGACATAAGGTCACCATTTCTCCCCATCTGCTGCTGTTTGTTCCCTGAAATCTCCCAAAATAGGCCCTACGAACAGAGTAAAACAGGTGGGAACAGGCGAGGAGAGTGCTCCCGACAGCACCCCTTCAGGCTCCTCG